GATGCAGAAATTTTGGCTGTGAAATTTCACACTACGATAACTGAGAAGTGGGGATTCAGCATGGAGTACTGTCGTGGCCAGGCTTACATTGTGTCCAGTGGATTTTCTTCCAAAATGAAAGTTGTTGCTTCTAGACTTTTAGAGAAATATCCCCAAGCTATCTACACACTCTGCTCTTCCTGTGCCTTAAATATGTGGTTGGCAAAATCAGTGCCTGTTATGGGAGTATCTGTCACATTAGGAACAACTGAGGAAGCTTGTTCTTTTTCCCATCAATCACCACAACTGCTTTTAGAGCTTGACAATGTAATTTCTGTTCTATTCCAGAACAATGAAGAAAGGGGCAAAGAACTGAAGGAAATTTGCCATTCTCAGTGGACAGGCAGGCATGATGCTTTTGAAATCTTAGTGGACCTCCCACAAGCACTTGTTTTATGTATAGATGGTATAAATAGTGACACAAATGTTAGATGGAATAACTGTATAGCTGGCCGAGCCTTTGTACTCTGTAGTGCAGTAACAGATTTTGATTTCATCGTTACCAACATTGTTCTTAAAAATGTTCTATCTTTTACAAGAGCCTTTGGGAAAAATATTCAGGGGCAAACTTCTGATGTCTTCTTGCAGCCAGTAGTTTGGCTGCAGTGCTGCATTCACTAAATAAAGTGATGGAAAATATCGAAGTTTATCATGAATTTTGGTTTGAGGAAGCCACAAATTTGGCAACCAAACTTGATATTCAGATGAAACTCCCAGGGAAATTTCACAGAGCTCAGCATAGTAACCTGGAATTTCAGCTAACCTCTGAGAGTTACTATAAAGAAACTCTAAATGTTCCAACAGTGGAACACATTATTCAGGAACTGAAAGATATCTTCTCAGAACAACACCTCAAAGCTCTTAAATGCTCACCTCTGGTACCCTCTGTCATGGGACAGCTTAAATTCAATACATCAGAGGAGCATCATGCTGACATGTACAGAAGTGATTTACCTAATCCTGACACACACTCTGCTGAGCTGCAGTGTTGGAGAATCAAGTGGAAACACAGAAGGAAAGATATAGAGCTTCCATCCACTATTTATGAAGCCCTTCATCTG